GGCATCTGAAGATTTTGTGCCCTGCATTCCTTACGACAAACGTGCCCCCTCAGTCATTAGGATCCCAGCACAATACTGCAAAACTTCAAAACTGTCAAACCTACCATACAGTGCTCAATTTCTTTTTCTAGAAAGGCAAAAATTCTATTTAAAACTTATCTTAGCAAAAACAATATTAAACAATTTTCCTTTAAAACAATCCCAGAAGAAATGCAATAGCTTAACAAAGCCCAAGTTATTGGTTTAATGAAGATTTTTGTTAGCTAGAACTCCCACCTGAAATGACTCATTCAAAACAGTATCTGTAAACATTCCCAACTTGCTTTGAAGACCTCATTTCAAACTGCCTCATAGCCTTGAAACTCACTATTCCAAATGGCATGCTGATAATCACATAAAAAGATTGCATACACCTGATCTTGATTGAATCCATTTGCTCATGCTTTGATCAGTAAATTTCAAGATATTTTCTGGAAAAAAAAATTTTGACTTTAAACATTTTTTTTAAATTTAGATGTAAAAATTAAAGATTCACCACCAGGTTGCTCTAAATAGCAAGCTTTCCATAAGCATTTAATATTTAAGTTAAAACACTAAAGAGGAAATGATATCATTCATATGAAATGTCCGGAACAGGGAAATCTATAGAGATAGGAAGGAAATGAGTGGTTGCTCAGGGCTGGAGGAAGAAGAGGTAGGAAGAGGGCAGCTAAAGGGTATGGGATTTCTTCTGGAAATGATTAGAATGTTCTAAAATTGACTGTGGTGATGGTTGTACAATTCTGAATATTCTAAAAAAGGTTAAATTGTATACTTTAGGTAGATGGATTATACAGTATATAAAGTATATCTCAATAAAGCTATTAAAAATATTTAAGAGGAGATTGTACACCACAAAAAAGATCCCCACCAGTTAGGTGGACATATACACAATACTACATATATATATGTACATTATAATATTCCATTAATAACTTCTTATTTCTAGAGGATGAAGAAGGGGGTGATTGTCTTCATAATTAAGGCCCTAGAAAAACCAGTGCTTAAGAGAAAAAGACCATGTCTATTTCTTCATGATTACAATAACCCAAATTCACTGGCTTCAATAATGTTCTAAAATTGACTTACACCTACCACAGCTTCAAATCAATCACTGGTGTTATTTTCAGTGTCGAGAACAAGAGCAAGGTTTAGAGAGACAGCTACTGACATGGGGCAGACCCTCCTAGAATTTCAAGGAATTGCTTGAGATTTGGAATTATGAGGGCTGGCATTCCCCCAAGGGTGCCAAGGCCACAGTCAACTCCAGCAGCAACTTACTCCTACTCACCAGGCCCAGCCTCTTTATTGGATACATTAGTTGAAACATTAACCCTAGCCTTTCAATGTCTGTCTTGAATTGTACCATTCAACCCCTCACCAACCTTCCGTAGTACCTGACAACCACGTCCCTCCTTAGCAAACTTTAATCCCTTTTCTGAAGTCAAAATGCCAGGTACCCGTAAAGGCAGTCACAGTGCAATGACCATGATCCAAGGCTCCGAGCCAGAGAGGGCCTAGCGTGGGGAAGGCAGTAAGAACACCAGCTTCCTGAGGTGTACAGCAGCAACAAAATCAGTACCCTTGACCCCTGGATCTGTCCCAATTAGTCTTTTCTTTTCAAAAATTGATTTAGAAGCAAACGCTCTGGGATAAATACTCCATACCCCTGCTTCAAAAAAAAAAAAAAAAAAAAAAAAGAAAGGAAGGAAGAAAGAAAAAACTAACTAACCCTTTTACAAGAAAAAATTAAGAAAAAAAAATAATTTTTATCAACCCTCTTTTATGAAAATATTCCCTTGAATAGTTTTATCAACTTTTAGCAAATTTTCATGGCCAAGAAAAAAAGTGTTATTAAAAGAATTAATATTTTTATAAGACTTGACTTCCGCAATATTAAAGTACAAAAATAATATGGCTCAACATTTTGTAAAATCCTTAAGCTTTAATACCAAGAAGTTTTTCGGTTTTTTTGTTGTTTTTTTTTAAGATTTTATTTATTTGTTAGAGAGAGAGAGAGAGCACAGGCAGACAGAGAGGCAGGCAGAGGCAGAGGGAGAAGCAGGCTCCCCGCTGAGCAAGGAGCCTGATGTGGGGCTCGATCCCAGAACACTGGGATCATGACCTGAGCTGAAGGCAGCCGCCCAACCAACTGAGCCACCCAGGCGTCCCCCAATACCAAGAAGTTTTATAATCAGTTCCTTAATGAACTAGAAGTCACGTTACCACTAGTAATTCTCCCAAATATAGAATGGAGATGAAACAAATACTCAGAAGTCATTTTATAAAATAGCAAGGGCCACATTTCAATTTCTTAGACCCTATTCAGTGTATTCTGAAACTCATGTTCATAGTATATGCCATGAACTCAGAAACTATATGAATATTTAATATTATATATCTCAACTAATGCAATTATATTCTTATACAAGACTTTAAATACAATTGTTGGTAGCTACCTACTCTATTTCTAGCCAACCCCACTGTATATTCCCATACTTATTCCTTCCCCCACTCCAAAAATATACAAATGGAAATATACAACAGGTAGCCACTTGAAAAATCAGATAATAAAATCAGCCTCAAAAGTCAGCTTTGCACCTGGATTACAGAACAAATAGTGAAGCCACATTATCAAGGCTCTTAAAAATCTTCACCTTCCATATAATAGAAAATGTAAACAAAACAAAGACCCTTATTTTCCCAACTTTAAGCATGCTTAAATGGATACTAAAGTCAAAGAAATTAAGAGGAATTAAGTAAAAATACTACTCAAAAACATCTTAAAATTTAAAAAGAAAATTCTTCAAAAGAAAAAAAATTGAATTCTACATCCTTATATTGTGTGTGTGTATAGCCTAACACATTTACTATTCAAAGACCATCATATAGTGAAATATATAGCATAGTACTGTATTTATAAATTTCCTGAATCCCAAAATCAAGCAAAGAAAAAAGAGACAGGATATAATCTTTTATAAAGTAACCTTTCCATGTTTTTAAAAGCAATTGAATAGAAATAGATATAAGGAATGAAGAAATGAAACTGTATCGGCAATAAAGGATTCCAGACAGTTTTAAGTATGTTCACAGAGTTGAGCAATCATCACCTCAGAATGAAACCCCACATACATTAGCCGTCACTCCTATTTCTCAACCTTTTCCCGCTTCCCTAGCCCTAACAGTCACTCATCTAGGTCTCAATGGATTTGCCTCTTGTAGACATTTCCTGTAAGCAGAAGGAGGCCTTCTGTGCCTGGCTTCTTTCATTTAGCACAATGTTTAGGTCTCACCCCTATTGTAGCATGTATCTCTATTCTGGCCCTTGTTACGGCCGGTAGTATTCCATCGTATGGACAGACCACATGGTATTAGGTTGTTCCACTTCGGGGCTATCGTGAATAATGCTGCTCTGATCATTTGTGTAACTGTGTTTGTGTGCACACAGGTTTTCTCTGATCTTGGGTAGACATAGCTAGGAGGATTGGTGGGTCTTATGGTAATTACACATTTACCCTTTGGGGAACTGCCAGACTGTGTTCCAAAGCAGCTGCACCGTTATTCGTTCCCATCATCAACGTATACAGAGGGCTTCCATTTCTCCACATGCTCGCCAACACCTAATGCCTGTTATCTATTTGATTAGAGCCATGTGAGTGTGTGAAGTAATAATTCATTGTGGCACATGCTCTGTATTTTAAACCAAGCCCACTCTTTCTTGAATGGGCCCTCAGCTACTCTTGTAGGCTACACTTTGAGGTGAAGAACATGTCCCAACGGTCATTCTTAAAACCAAAAATAAAGCCAGGATAATCTAACACTCCCTTAATAAGTGAAGGTATCACCTCCATTTAAATGCATCACTCTTCTACCACAAACTCTATAGAGCTATAATCATGCCCAACAGCCAAACCTTTTCAATACAGATGTCAGGCTGAGCATCCCACGTAAGTGCCAATGCTGTAATGGAATACTTAAACATGCAACGAAGATTTAACCAGAGCTTTCCAGAAACACTGGATTGAATTCAAGCTTGTCAATAATCCATGTGTAACCAGATCATTTAACTTGTCTACGTCTGAGCATGGAGTTCTGAGCCATTCACAGAACTACATCCTCTGAAGTCACTCACGTAAATTTGTCTGTCTGAAAGTTTAATGAAATTTGAAAAAGTACCAACGCCCATGCCTAAAGATCTAGCCTTGTGCAGCAGAAAGAATCTGAGCTATAGTAGTCAGAGAAGGTGGGTGCTCCTTGCAGCTCTGTTATTCAGTAGCTATATCACCACAGGTACATTATTTAGTATCTTTCTATCTCCGTTTCCTGATGTGAAGGTAATGCCTTCAAGAGGTTACGAGGATTCCCTGATCTAGTACAGCTAAAGCATCTAACACAGTAGCCAGCCAAAAAGTAGACACTTAAATATTAGCGGAGAGATGGATGAAAGCTTACTCTAGGCAAAGTTTCCCAGCAAATAAAGACCTCATAACCAATGTTGGGGACCAGGTAGGGCTGAATGCGAGTCCTTGTGACCTATGGGATTCCTTTATAAAGCACTTCCCCACATTATGGTCTGCAAATTGATAAGGTGAGCTGTCATTTGGCTTAGAACAAGACTAGGAGGAATTCTTGGAAGGGAGCCCAGGGACGAAAAGATAAGAGACCTCATTTTTGTCAGGGACACAAGAATAAAAACTTCCTCAGGTCTCACGGAAAGCCTGAGCCCAGAACAGATCCCACGGGGAGAAAGATAAAGGCTGTATTCACATGACCCCATTGGGAGCGCAGGTAGAGACCGCCAGGCTCTAAGGGGACGTGGAGGGGGTGGGGAAAGGAAGGGGCTGGCGGAAGAGAGAGGGGTGGGGGCTAACTAGATGTGTGGAAAAGCTGCCAAGAGGAAGACGAGCCCCATCCCAGCTGTGAATTAAATGTCCTTGCGTCTCTCCACCTCCTTCCCCTACCTGATCTGGTTGTCACGGAATTTGTTGAGATGCGGTTGGTTGAGGTAAATGGTGCGGGCTGGTGCCTCCAGCTGGTCTCCAACAGACGTGGCCCGGGACATCTCATCCTCTGCCTTCTTGTAGCCCGAAGAAGGACGAACAGGTCCTGCAGAGACGGGGCGCGGGCAGAAAACAAAACACAAAGAAGTCACGCCAGGCGAGAGGCAGCGAACGCCGGCTGCGGGCTGGCGGGCGGGGACCAGCTGGGAAGGATGCTCTGGGCGCTGCTGGGCCCGCCTATGTACCTTGGCTCCCCCTGGAGACCTGCCGCCGCGGCTGCTCCCGGCTCCGCCCCGCCCCCTCCCGCGCCCCACCCCCGCCCTGGTCCCTTGGGCGCCGAGGAGGGAGCCTCTGCCGCCGCCAACTCCGCCCCGCCCCCTCCCGCGCGGCTGCAGCGTGAGGCCCGGCTGGCAGGGGCAGGGAGGGGCCGCGGGGACCGCGGAGCTGGGGCCTCCCGCCTCGTCCCCCGGTGAGCTCCCCCTGCGGGCCCAGGGACTGCGCTCCGGAACTCGGTTTCCTGGGCTGCTTTGATTGTGCTTGGGACAAAGACACCGGCAAAGGGGATGTGCCCTGCATTCAGTCACCGCATAAAAGGATGGTGAAAGCACATCTCCATGCCCTACAAACGATATTCCCAACCCTCCGGGTGATGGGCTTGGCTCCACCGAGATCCTGAATGCAGCAGCTGCTTTTCTCCCCAGAAACGCCCGGCAACCTGAGGGATCCACGATCTTTCATTTCATTGCTCGGGTTAGGTGTCTGTGGTTAAGACACAAGCAGGTCTGTCTCCTTAAGAGTTGATTTCGGTCCTACAGTCAAGCTTCTCTGTGAGCTCAACCTCCCCATAACCTTTAGGCAGGGAGGTGTTGGCTTGGAAAATAATGATGTGCCCATGACTCACATGGCTACACCTGAGCGCACACACAGCTGATCAACCCCATCTCCAACAAGAGGTATTCGGCATCAGAAGGGGCAACCCACCTCAAGAAGGGACCTTCAGGGAGGGGTGCCTGAAGCAAAGGATCACAGAGAAAGAAATGCCTCTACAGCCTCCTCTCCTTTTCCTTACATTGTTTCCACTCTAGTATCTGCCACGCTTTCCACCTATCAAAGAGATGAATGATGTCTCCTGTTTGGGAAATGGACATCTCATTTCAGTCACCGTCTACTTCACAGCTACAACAAATATTCACTGACAGGGAAAAATCTTGAAATAGAAAATTTTGGCTATTGAGTGTGTCATCTTTTTTCAGTGATTATAATCCTATTATAATTTTTATTACAAGAGGGGACAACCAAAACGTGTAATCGGTTGAGAACTGACATACTACCCCAGAGAGTATTCGTAACTGGGTCCCTGGTCACACCAACCTGGCTATGCCCCATTAAGGGATTGTATCCTCAGATCCTCACCCTCCTCCAGGCTCCAACCTCCCGGGGTTCCTCTGGCTTCTGGGGTTGGGGAGTGAGGGGAACTACTCTATCCTTAACTTACGGACAAGGGGCAACAGAGAGCAAAAGTCCCTACTTCAAGCCTATCTGGCCTGAGAGCTCAGGCTCTCAAACCTCCGTCAGAGAAGGCTGGGTTTTTATTTTTGTTTTTTTAATTTTTATTGTGTTATGTTAGTCACCATAAAATACATCATTAGTTTTTGATGCAGTGTTCCAAGATCCACTATTTATGTACAACACAGAGTGCTCCATGCAATCCGCACCTTCCTTAATACCCACCACCAGGCTCACCCATCCTCCCACCCCACCTCCCCTCTAAAACCCTCGGTTTGTTTCTTGGGCTGGGTTTTAAAGCATTTGCTGATTTGGAGCACCTAGGTGGCTCAGCAGTTAAACGTCTGCCTTCGGTCCAGGTCATGATCCCAGAGTCCTGGGATCCAACCCCATGTTGGGCTCCTTGCTTGGTGGGGAATCCACTTCTTCCTCTGTCCCTGGCCCTGCTTGTGCTCTCTCATTCTTGCTCTGCTCTCTCTCTCTCTCTCTCAAATAAATAAATAAATAAAGCATTTGCTGATTTAAGGCACATCGGCTAGTTTCAAAAATATTCCCTATATAAAAATACTGCTTTTCTCTTGGCCCACTTATTATGCTTTGTCTCCAGCATTTATCATCATTACCTGACATTATTCATCTAGTCTAGCTTCCCATGGCCAAGGGCAGACGCTCCAGGACAACAGGACATGTTTTGTGCACTACAGTGATCTCGACACCTACAACAGTGCCTGGCACATAATGGGCATTCATATTTGCTAATCGAATAAATCATTTTCTTACAAAGCATTGCTTTGAATTCTCCAGGCAGAGATGCAGTGATATGCACAGAGGGCTCAAAGGCCATAAACTCATATGGGTCAGAATAGTTCATTGCGGGGCGCCTGGGTGGCTCAGTCATTAAGTATCTGCCTTCAGCTCAGGTCATGATCCCAGGATGTGGGATCAGGCCCCACATCGGGCTCCCAGCTCAGCGAGAAGCCTGCTTCTCCCTCTCCCACTTCCCCTGCTTGTGTTCCCTCTCTCGCTGTCTTTCTCTCTGTCAAATAAATAAATAAAATCTTAAAAAATTAATAGTTCATTGCTTACACTGTGTTCACTCAGTGGCTCTCCACCCTTGCTGCATGGTGCCACCACCAGTGGAGCTCCCACAATTAACTAAATCCTGGGCCCGACCTCACAGATTCTGCCTTGTTTTACTATGCTTTAAAGTAACATAAAAGTTGGGGGGGAGCTGCATGGTTCAATCAGTTAGACACTGACTGTCAATCTCAACTCAGGTCTTGATCTCAGGGTTGTGAGTTCAAGCCCCATGTTGGACTCCATGCTGGGTGTGGAGCCTACTTAAATAATAATAATAATAATAATGTAACTTAAGAGATAGGAGAGGGCAGCCACAGTTGAGAATCACTTGTTTATATACTGCTGGGAACACAAAAAACAAAAGATCTGGCTCCTGCTCTCAAAAATTTTAACCAGTTTAAGGCTAAGGTATAACCATGGTTACCAATAAGCCATAGTTCATGACAAGTGACTAAGAGTGGGCTTGAAGGTGCCAAGGAAGATCAGGAGTCAGCAGCCTGTTCACGCTTGAGGAGAGCTGGTCAGAACAGAGTTTGAGGACAGAGATGAAAGCCTTAAAGTATGGGTAAGGTTTCTATTAGGAAAGAAAAGGACAAGGATAGTTGAGGGAAGAAGAAAGAGCTTAGGCTCTTTCTTCTTCCAAGTAGACAAGATGTATATGAAACCAATTGAACCAAACAAACAAAAATGAGCAGTGAGGGGCTGGGGGCGGGGAGGGCAGTGGGGTGGGGGGTTGAAAAACTGGGGTGGATTTAAATGCAGGCAAAGAAGCTTCAACTACATCCTGAAGGTCAAATGAAGTCACAGATGGTTTCTAAGCAGAGGAAAAATACAATTGGCAGTGATAGACAAGTAGGAGCAGAAAGAGGGGAGACTTTGTAGATAAGGAGATCAGGTAGGAAATTAATTCTACATCTAGAAGCAAGATGTTAAGAAGCAAAAATTAAATGGAGAATGGGTAAAAAACATGGACAGAAGAATCACCTCAGAAGAGAGCCCTGTAAGACTTTTTTTGGACTGAGTGTGTGGGCCAGGAAATAAAAAAGAACATTGGATAATTGGGATTTGAAGAAGAGATGATTGGGACAAAAAAAGCACTACTGATAGAAATAAGAACGGAAACAGTTTTCCCAAACAAGAATGTAAGTGTTGGATAGCAAATATTGGGGTGCAAAACAGTTACACCATTAGTAATAGAATTACATGAAGTAGTGTCTCCCAAGCATCTACCATACACGAGGCCGGCTCACCCTTCTATATTACAACAGGGCCAGACCTAGAATGTTATTCTAGGTAGCAATCATGATAGTTCCCTCCTACCTAAGACTCTGGTGACTTCCTTCTACCTCAGTGGCCTCATCTTGACCCAATCCTGCTTTGGAGAAAAACATTAATCTTTTCAAAATATCACACATCTGTTGAAAATGTATTGCCTAAAGAAAACACTATACCATATATAGTGAAGCACATTATGACTAAGGTTTCAAATTCAGACTCATGAGATGAATCCTGAGCTAATGCATTTTGAAAATACCACCAGGCAAAATTAGAGTAGATGCTTACCACTCCCCCATACAAACAAGCACAGTGTCAGCAGACAGTGGGAGTTCAATAAATATCTGTTGAGAAAGAAACCAAAGTAAAAAGGATAAAGAGAAACAAGAGTAAGCAAATGGACAAGCACTAAACTTCCCTACTACAAAATGGAAATGCAGACAAGATAGAGGACGGCCAAGGGCACGAGGGCGGGGACTTCGTCTTGCTCATGGCTCTAGCACCATCATCCCAAATAATGCCAAACCAGTAGGCAGTCTGTAAATACAGACAAATAAAGGGCTAATGTAGCAGGTCCTTTTTGAGGATGCTTACCCAGCTACAGAAGCCCAGACTCCCTTATCTAGTAACTGAACCCTTCCCCTCCCACATATAGGCCAGGGAGCCCCCAGACAGGTCTATAAAATGCAGTCCCCTTCATCCATCACAGCTCTCTGTCCTGAGGACAGTTACTTGGTCTAAGTTGGACAATTAGGAGTCTTCTGGAAACTGACAGGGGGCCTAAAGAGGATGGTTTCTGCGTATGGCTGCTCTATGAACATACACTCTCTGGGTCTCGTAGCATCTTCTACCCCTGGGGTAGGCCGGGGAGTAAAGGGTTTCTTTCGGAATAAAGATGAAGCTGTTTCATGGAAAGCAACAGAAACGGTCCCAACAACTTTGTGGATTCTGGGTAAAGTCCCCTCCTAGATGCTAGCTATATTAGGGTCTTTGGGTTCATGACCCACCCGAATAACCAGAAATGCTAACTAATACTGTAAGGGAGCACACAGAGAACCTACTTTTCCCTTTAAGATAGATGAGCAAGTAAGGCTAACAAGGAGGGAGAAATATCTATTCACATATAGATCACCCTGGTGGGGGGGCAAGGGGGTGGTCGTTGGAGGTAAGGTTTTAGTTGCCTCTGACACAGGAGCCCTGAAATGCCACAACCCACACCCAGGGAAGCCAGATCTGACAGAGAAA